AACCAACTCCTCTTCAAACTTCCTGTTTCTGAGCAGTCAACCAAGTATATATTCTTATCACTGTCCATGCATATCTACTGACTTGTTTTGCTTTCCGTCCTCAGGTTTTTTTACCACTTTGCCTTATCACCTTCCTCCCAGCAGGTCACCTGCCTCCACCTCTGCTGGGAAAAGTATCGAGGTTATATGCTCCTCAAAGGTGCCTGCACTGCCCCTCCACTCTTATCATCCCTATGGGGACGTGGATTTCCGTCAGTACTGTGAGCCCGTCCTAACCCCCGTTCCTGTGCAGCCCATACCTGTCGTCGCTTCCCCGCCAATTCGACTGCGTTTGCCGCCTCCTCCTCCCCTGAAGTTTGGCAATTCAATCCCCGTCATTACATCAAGGGTGAGACCGGGTATGACTGTGCTGCTCGAACGTCTCCCGGAGCCTCCGCAACCACCAAAACCTAATAATTCCGTTGTTTCTGTCGCCAAGAGACAGCAGGGTGTTTTGGGTGATCCGCCGTTACGGAAACTGCAGGAGGCACAATCCCCACAACCACCATCGACGCCAGGTAAGAAGGGAATTTGTTTTTTTTGTCGCGCTTATGTCATTGAAATTCATCTAATACCTGCTTATTTTTATTTAGCCATTCAACAGCTGATGTCCTCTCCCTTAGAAGCGTTGCAACGACTTCTTAAAGGTGGCTACAACCCTCTTCCGAGCAATCCCTCTGAAACCACCGAGCCTAACTCCTCCAAACGGCCCTCAGCCAACCTGCATCCGTTGAGCGCTGCTCCCCCTCCGAGACTAGAAGATGGGGAGGAAGAAGAACCGAAGAAGAACTGCCTTCTCTCACATCCACCGCCGCCACCGCCTTCAGAATTTTTCGATGGTTACTCATTTTTTAGCCAGCGATCAGAAAGGCGGAAACGCCGACAGGAGTCCTTCACTTCGTCCAACGCAGTCGGCACTTCTCGCTCCTCCACGCCTCCTCCATCCTCGATCCAACCCAAGAAAAGGCTGGCTGCTATCGCGGATATGTTGGGTCTCAATGAGCCCCCGGCACCTAAGGAGCACCCAACTGCTCACACTCCTACTGTTACCTCGGTGCCGCCATTCTGGGGAGTGCATCTAGGTGCATCAGTAGCTGGCGCTACTGCTGCAGTTGGTTCGCAACCTCCTGTGGCCCCTGGCTTGAATTCGGCTAATTTGTGGTCTCTCCTCTATCCCGGCC